ATATATATATATATATATATATACTATACTACACACTATATATATATATATATATATAATATAATACTAGCAGGTATATATATATATGGGCAGGTGTGTGTGTGGCCCGTGGGTCACGGTATGGCCATTGCACGTGTATTTGACCTCGGGAGTTGCACCCAAAAGGTCTGACTTCGAGGTGCAGCCTTTAGGTGCTTGAGCTCTGTTTAGGACATTGAACAGCGGCCAAGAGTATATATTTCAGTGCGTCTGAGAGGAGCGTTTGGACAACCCCGTATGACAATTGTATAATCCTGCACCGTGTTGGCGCCATGTCATATGTACCAGAAAAACATCTAACTGGTTACAGAAATCACACAATCACACATTGTATATATTGTAGTCACTCGCAATACAACTCAGTACGATCACATGTGCAGTTGGTGACCTTCCTTTTGTTTCGTATCTTGTCCCAAATTCTTCACCAGGACCGGCGCGAGAGAATCAAGGCCAAAATAGCCGCGGCCAAAGCGAAAAAGATCGCGGCCAAAAAGAAGGGCTCTGCGAGTGCGCGGCCCAATGCGGACGACGATTGCCCTCAAGTGGTCAGGTGAGACTGCTCGCTCACAACTCTGTTGTGCTAGAGTGCTACTGTTGTGTTCTAACGTGGTGGCTGTGCTTGTGCTTGTGCTTGTGCCTGTGCTTGCGATTGTGCTTGTGCTTGCAGTGAGTGTGCCTGTATCCTCTGCAGTGCGGAAAGAGCGGTAGGATGGCGGACATGTGTATAAGACTGACGCATGGTTTTCCTAACTACTTGAAGTTCGGTGGATGTGAACGTTTATTTAACCACCAATGTGTAAGACCTGAAACGATGCTACCTACACGAGTGTTCTACGAACGGCTCAGGATACTCTTTCATTCTCATATGCCATGGGCCAATAGCGGTTTCAAGCGCTTCTGTAAAACCAAGGTTTTTCTCTCGTGTCAACTCACCATACCTCGATCCCAAGGATGTGGGTTCTGCGTGCTGGTAGACAATAGTTTGATTGCAAACGGCGGGTGCAAGATTTAATTGTCCACTATGGGTAAACAGTAGGCTGCAATGCCTGGCGCAGTCCCATGCACCTGTGAAAAGGGTGTTGTACACTACTTTGTCCAAATATCCTTGGCTGTCCCCCTTTCTCCGTGGCCCAGTACGTGTGGCTGTTGAGGTCGAATATATGCGTCCTCACGTGCATATATATATATTATATTATATATTTATACCAGGCACGTCTGTGTCTGTGTCTGTGTGGTTTGTACCTTTATATCTACCTACCCACAACCCTGGAAAACGGACTTGAAAAAGTAGTGAAACCCTGAAGCAGTCAGTGCGAGCAAACGCATACACACCACTCGCCACTAATGCGTCATTCTCAACTGATCCGCTGTCTCAGAGTCGACGCCGATGATGTGGAAATCATTGCAGCAGATGGCGTGTGGCCAAGGTACGTTACGTTACAGATATTAGTACTAACTAACTGGACTATCGGGGGGTGCTGTGTATTACTATTCAAATACTATGAGTGGGTGCTGTGCATTACTATTCAATTACTATGGGTGGGTGCTGTGTACTACTATTCAAGTACTATGGATGGGTGCTGTGTATCACTATTGAAGTACTATGGGTAGGTGCTGTGTATTACTATTAAAGTACTATTGGTGGGTGCTGTGTATTACTATTGAAGTACAATGGGTAGGTGCTGTGTATTAATATTTTAATACGGAGAGGTGGAGCATTGGGTTACGCATGCACACATGCTCTGTTGGGCTAAGGTTTAGGGTTTGGGTTTAGGGCTCAGGGCTTACACAATCCGTTTTTGTCCCTGATCAATAGGCCGCGGTCGAGTACCGGATTGGCTATCAAGGGCCGAATTCTCTACTTGTACGGCGGATATAATGAGGTATGTCTCATGACGTATATTCTGCAGATTCTGATCAAAGCGATAGCCCTTTCTCGAGGTCGTTTCTCGCCTTTGTCAGCTGGGACACTCTGTAAACTACTGTTATAGTCCCCTTGTAATTTAGTACAGTGGTACAACTCTATTTAAATTTGTTGTAATCCAGTACAGTGGTACAACTATGTTCAACGTGGTTGGTCCATTCATTCATTACCGCATTTGTACAGTGATATTAGAGTGTTTAAACGTGCAGGAGGTAATATTACCACGAGAACTGCACTTGACATGCGCCTGCTTACTCCTTCTGATCGCTGGGACTTATTTATGCCGATGATATTGGTTACACTTCGAATTTGCACTTTATTTCCCGGGCCGTCCCAGTCCAAGCGTAATAGGACCTCTGGAACAACAACGCATGAAGAGCGTCATATAGGGGAAGGGGAGGGGGAGGGGGTGTTTTTTCTTAAATTCTTATGGTAGACAATGCACTTCGATACTCATTCAGGTTGGCGACCGTATGATCACGCTGAGTGATTTGTACTCACTGGATATCGGTAAAATGGATGAATGGATCAAGGTAGAAGACACCAGCGAAGAGAGTAAGAAATGGCTGGGCGAGGAGAGTGACAGTGAAAGCGATAGTGAATACACGGACGAGGACGGGGATGAAGAGTAAATACACATCAATATAAAGGATTTTAGGATAGATGTCCTGCGAAGTATGACTATAGATTTGAATATAAAGGATATTAGAACACATTATTTCAATGATACCTATAGATTAGAATATAAAGAATATTAGAACACATATTACGTCAATGATACCTATAGATTAGAATATAAAGGACATCAGAACGCATATTATGTCAATGGTACCTATAGATTGGAATATAAAGAATATTAGCAGAGATGTCTTGCCAATGACGCTTATGGATTTGGGATCGATTTGGGATCCTGAAAATATGAATTACACCACATATGCAGTGCGTATAAGCAAACAGTATAACACCCTCTCTTTATCTCTCTATCTCTCTCTCCGCTGATACTACGGAGACAATCATCTGACTTGGGAAAAAGAAAGAGCTTGAATATTTGCTTGTAATACATTAGTCTCATTGGTTTTCTGTCCCCTTTATTATTTAAGACGCGCTGGATTCCGAAAACAAAATGCAGCCTTGTCGGCTTGCCATCGCTTAGCCCTCTAAAAGTGTACACCGCATACCATTGCATAGTCTATCCATTGACCGTGTAGTGTTCACGAATATTCTAAGTGTACGCCGCATAGCATTGCATAGTTTATCATGGACCGTGTAGTGTTCACGAATATTCAATTTCTATCAGCTAAACATAGCAGCAATGCATTTTCAGTTTCCATATATCTCACAGGAACAGAGTATCGTATGGACAGCGAAAGTTTGATATTTACAGAAAGAGTATGTTTCTAGAGATAACGTTAAATGAACAAAATCGTATGTATATAGCCATATACACATTGTACGTACTTTCAGAGGCAGTGTTGAGTGAACGAAATCATATGCGCGAGAAAATATACATTTTAAACCTTCATGGTACATTAAAAATACATGTCGCATATTTCGAACAGGACTGAAATTATGTATAATTAAATAAATAATATATTTTTAATGAGGGGTGTACAGAAAAACCTCGAGCAATTGAAAACACGGGTTTCTCCGTTTTCACATATCGTACCGATGGAGCTGATGATATGGAGATCTACGTTTGGGGTCTAAATCAGTAAATCTACTAAATACTTTTTGAATACCGCTGGCTTTTCGAATCAAAATTTTGGAATTCATAGTGTACATGTGGAAACATCTATCATATGGACAGCCCTTCCGCCTCCTGATATAGAAACACTTTACCGAAACAGGCTGTTTTGATTTTTTATTTAATACCAGTATACAACTATTCACAGTTATACACAGTTTTATATCTTTCTCGTATCTAATTATCTATGCAGTACGCACCAACAAGGATTTGATGTGATCCAGCATTATTTAGATCTCTAGTTCTCCACTCGAACGATAAATTTGAAGCTGTTTTAGAATTAGACCACTCATACTACTAGAGAGAGTGCGCATCAAACTATTGACTCCCACGTTTATTATTGGGTTATATATTTTGAATAAAATACTTTTGAGTTTAGATTGGTCTTTATATGCTCTATTTGATCGAAAAACTCAGCTGAAAAGGCCCTAAGCCCCAAGATTGTATTTATTTTTTGTTCATATTAACGACATTCGGACGTATTGTCATATAGTTCATTCACATTTTCGGACTCGACATGTATAGGAATTTTTAAATTCTTGTTATGTGATATTTTATATTTATGTCATATCCATAATTATGTCCCCTGCCCACAGGTGTTCAGTCACTCCCCAGAGATTCCAGTGTCCACGTGAAGCTAGCCTCAAACCGTTTCCGATACATTTTTATAAATCGAATAAATATACGTTTACGTTTAACTTATATTCCATATGCGGTCCTTTATATGTATGTTAACAGGTGTACCTTGCAGGTCTAATCATTTGTGTGTACTGTTTTCACGATTCGTACCAGTCCTATAAAAAGAACTTTGGTAGGCCCTCTTGATCTCATTATAACAGTTATAACGTTTTTAAAACGAAAAAAATATGCGTTTACGTTTATCATGATGAGCTTATTTAGATGAAGTATATAGTATATACTGAACACGATGACCAATTTATTCTGTATAATAAATATTTACATAGTACCCAATAAATATTTAGAATATACATCTCCAGCTCCGAGTTCTCCACTTAAAGTCTATAATTGTGTACTCTTAGTACTCTAGTAGCTCTATTTTCTGCTTTAATAAAAATAGTGTATAGTGTATTTACTCTATACTCTATCTACAGTTTTACACTTTACCGTCAAGCTAGTAGAGGGCGTCTACAGTTCTACACTCTACACTCTACTAGTAGTGAGTCTACCCTCAACCTCTACACTTTACACTTGCAGTCAGTGCCTCTATTACTACTCTCTCTCTCTACTTGTGTAGACTGTAGACTCTATTGTCCGAAGGACTAAATATTTACAGTATTTTATTTTTTCCTGTTCTACATATTTTAGTTCTATTTTCAAATATTAGTTTTAAAACAAAATAGATCCAATTGTGTTTTTGATTTTGAAAAATACGTAAATATATAGATTGTCATATTGAACTCGTAACTAATTGATCAGCCAACTCGCCAGTGTCTCCAGACTCCAGAGACTGTCCAGTCTGGCAGTCACTCACTCCCCACTCCCCAGTCACCAGTCACCACGTAGGGCCACAGGGCTCAGGCCCTCAGCCCTCGGGCACTCACCCCAGGGCCCAGAGCCCACATCCCACGCCCCAGTACCAGGGGGCTATCTCATAACGTATATGTATTACGTAGTGCTCCTGCGTTCAAATTCTATCCGTTAAACGTGGAACGTTGAACGTAAATTACCATAGTTGGGTCTAATATATATGAGAAGAGATCGGATTCCAGGTCATGCATGTCGCGAAGTTTTGTCCTTATTCTCACTCGTTTATTGTTCTATACAGTATTATAGGGCTAAACATGTTGTGGTAGGTGCACTATTTAGGTCGCGCAGGCCGTTTTTTTTATAGGTCAATATAGTATATATATATACTTTTCTACGTTTTTAATTGACCTGTTGAACGTTATTCTGCGTTGAACGTATAGAGTATAGAGACTATAGACTGTATAAAGTATATTTAGACCCCTATGGCGGAACGACTCTGGCACTCGCAGCCTTCTATTTTCATTGTTTTTTATAAAAGCGAAGAAAAAAAAAATCAAAATTGAACAAGGCTAAATATGGTCCACTGTGACTCCACTCACCACTCACCACTCCACTCTCTACTGAATCTGATCCACTCTCTCTCAGACTCTTAGTCACTCCCCTAAAAAGGAAAGATGGAAGTTCGGAACTGAATCAGGTTTATATTATTGCGTATAGGTATTGGTTCTTTCTCGATAGATTTGAAATTGCTCCTTTTGCTAAAAAGTAAAATGCATCTTCTGTTTTGTTTTGATTTTTCGGATATCAAACAGATTTGCGAGATTTGAGATTTCGGACTTGACACTGTCGAGTGTCGACAGTCGGGCAGTCGTGACTCGTGTCTTGTGGGATGTCGACACCTCGAATGAGTAAGAGACAAAAATACGTTCACCTAGACAAGAAGATATATTATGGAGGTGACCAAATCTCGGGGTTTATCGATATGGTGGCCGCTGGAGCGACCAGTATAAATATTTTGAATGTGGCAATTGTCTGTCGTCTTCGTTGGAAAAGTGCCACTGGACAGTCTTCTGGTCACACTTTATATAGCGCTTCAAAGATAATAGGGCGCGACTACCTTGTCGATGAGGGTCTAACACAATTCCCGTTCACCTTTGGGTTACCAGATGACCTTGTAGTGACACACGATCATGCGTTCTGCTCGGTGAAGTGGGATGCACGCCTTGTGGAGTCTGATTGGAAGCCAGTAGCCTTTTGTCGGTTCACCATGTCGGCTTTGTACTATACCCAAATGAATATGGGCCCAAAGGTCCGGCGTGAGATATTTGATGGAAGTAAATCCCCCGCCCTGCTTGCCGAGGTAAGCCTTTCACGCGATGTATATCAGGAAGGGGAGCCGATTGACATTCGACTGGCCATGCACAAGAACGGCGCGGCCGTTAGAAGCGTCACAGCACACATTACTCAACATGTGGTATTCGAAGACGGAACCAAAAATAGTCGCAATCAAATATCACAAACCATGTTGGATAACACAAAGCTAAAACATTTGTCGAAGAAAAACCGTTGGACAAAGATCGACGCGAAGCTAGGGTCCACATGCGTTCGCACGTTTAGTTGTATCCCTCGTGTACCGGAAATACGTGATGATAGCACTGCGGTGCAATTGTTGCGAGACAGTAATGGACAACAAACTGTACTTACCCCGAGCGATGTAATGTACAGACACTATGAAATCGGTTGCAGTTAGCTATATTGTAGACGTTACGATTCATACCCGAGGATGCAAGGATCTGACCTTTTCATTGCCATTTGCTTTGCAAGGCAAACCACCAAAACATTACGATGATATGAACAGCTTTTGCCCAGTTAAAAACTGTTTCACTTTCCCGAGATCAATAGAGCAGCCGTCTGATTATACTGATTATAGATGCGCCTCGGTAAAATCGTACACGAGTCTCCGGCCTTCGACCGAATCCGTAGACTCGGTGTTTTTCAAATCCAATTTGCGCACTGCCGCTAATTTGAAAAAATTCAACTGTGACACTTTCAATCTGTGACTGAGGACTTCCATGGTGACGGGCAATTTGGTGATAGATCCAGTTCATTGGCAGAAGTTGGGTTAAAGAAAAGGCTGCGAAGTTTGTCTACGTCGAATGCTACATCAAATCTCTCGAAGAGGAGACTATCTTTATCCCACTTAGCAGCAATTGGGAACCCCATTTCTTGTAATTTCGTTTAGTATGCAATCGTTATGGGATATTTGTGTAGATTCATGGAAAATAAACCGTAAAAGTAGAGCTATTAATTTTGTAGCTTTTGATATTAGTCGGTATTCATCTCCTACTAGTTTTCAATTGAAAAGGTCATGGCATTGATTTAATTCATCTTGAAATATTTGCTCTCAAACTTATCTCTCATCATGCATACATTCGCTGTCCCTCTGTATCTTTGTTTGTACCAACACAATTAATCCTTTCATCATCGCATAGACGTACCAAGAATACAGAAGCAGACCACAACACATACTCTTCAAAATATAGTACTATCCGATTATTTTAAAAGACCCAAATCGGGTATTTAAGTACATAGCTAGGAATGTTAGAGGTGTGATATTGTTCATTCCATTTTGTAGAATTCGCAAAAATTTGTAAACGCGCATCTTGTAAACAAGCAAATATACACACTTGATATATCCTCTGCGTGTGATCAGTACGGAATTACTGTTCTTGTTCGCCTGGATTCGTCGACTACGAGTCCGTTGCGCGAACACGTGTAAGCATATTCAATGATATACATTCATATGTGTACACACCCACTTTGTCTGAGATACATTCATATGTGCACACACCCACTTTGGATCTTATACATTCATATGTGTACACACCCACTTTATATGATATACATTCATATATGCACACACCCACTTTGTCTGAGATACATTCATATGTGTACACACCCACTTTGTCTGAGATACATTCATATGTGTACAGACTCACTTTGTATGATATACATTCATATGTGCACACACCCGCTTTGTATGATATACTTTCATATATGCACACACCCACTTTGTCTGAGATACATTAATATATGTACACACCCACTTTGTCTGAGATACATTCATATGTGCACACACTCACTTTGTATGATATACATTCTAATGTGCACACACCCACTTTGTATGATATACATTCATATGTACACACACTCACTTTGGATTATATACATACATATGTGTACATACCCACTTTGTATGATATACATTCATATATGCACACACCCACTTTGTCTCAGATACATTCATATATGTACACACCCCCTTTGTCTGAGATACTTGTGAAAATAAAGTTACAGTACGAAGTGCACTGATACAAAACTGTCGCAGATGTATAGGTTTAAAAATTCATCACAACTCAATTGAACCCACTCGGGATAGTATTTAACACGAGGTCACTATATTTGTATCTACAGGATGCACCACATAATAGTATGTTTGGTGTGTGTGCCACATCTCCAATTTGAACATGCTTGCCATTTGCCAGAAAAATAAATATACGAATCCAGATGCGGAGAGGATGCTCATCTATGAACAGCTGTTGGACTACTGTTGGACTACTGGATGGGGCGTAATTTCGGACAAACAACCTCACTCACAACACAGAAACACACCGAACGAACTCACAACACAGAAACACACCGAACGAACTCACAACACAGAAACACACGAAACTAACTCACAACACACAACACACAAACACACCGAACGAGCTCACAGCACACAAACACACCGAACGAACGCACGACACACAAACACACCGAACAAACTCGCAACACAGAAACACACCGAACGAACTCACAACACAGAAACACACCGAACGAACGCACAACACACAAACACACCGAACGAACTCACAACACACAAACACACCGAACGAACCCATAACACAGAAACACACCGAACGAACGGGCGTAGAGGAGGGCAACGCGCACACACGCACAATCGAATTGCGTGTCACAGCTGATCCGCTGAGATGAATATTTCGATGATCAATCCAGCAATATAAAAAACTGAAGTCTACGTAGAGCTTGGGTTTATTAAAACTGGTCTTCTACACCTTTGGACACACTAACGCTGGCGACGGCGTGTAGTGCAGCGCTTAGACCCCTACAGGTATCACGCAAGCGTCTGTATCGCCTATAGCTTGACGGGCAAGTTAATCTTTCCATACTTCATCCTAAAGAAGTAGAGGCTTGTCCCGTACTACATGGGCTCTAACTACCAACGGTCTAACGCTCGGTGTGTAGTGAATAGTCCTGTGATACCACCAACAGGTCACAGATGCTGCACGTCCCCTGCGTACCCATGCAGACACTTATTTTGCCACAGAGGAGGGAATAGCGCTGTACGCGACCCAATCAGTGCCGTTGGCTTGTAGGTAAATGTCTGAAGCCGAGCCACGCCGGTCAAGTACAGCTGGATGTGATAGTACAGTCATCGCACGCATGACAAAGGGGCTGAGACAGTGACACAGTACACACCATCACTGCGGAGGGCTGGAAAGGTGTCAAAAGCAGCCCTGACACTGACACTGACATTGAAACTGACACTGACACTGACACAGACATGCAGCAGCGTATCAAACTCCCCACGCAGCTCACATATGGAACATGGTGTCACACCATGCGGCGAAGGCTGCATAGGCAAACCCCAGGCACGTGTTAACATGTCAACGTGCACATCAGAAGCCCAGAACCCCCAGGCACGCCTTAGGCGAACGTAATTGCAATGGCGTGCGTGTGCATACACCCACAGATCTCTGGGGAATTGAACTGGCACGTTATTCCTTCCATAATCCACAGCCGTATACAAATGCTGTGCAGAGCATCTCAACAGTTCCGTCCTGCACACATTGCGTGTGTCGACGGCCGGTTGCTTGGCAACAGCTGTCATGAACAGAGTACTAAGACTCTAAAAACCTTAAACCCAGTCGGTTGCTTGGCAACACCTGTCATGAACAGAGTACTAAAACCCTAACAACCTTAAACCCGGTCAGTTGCTTGGCAACAGCTGTCAACTAAAACCTAAAAACCTTAAACACTTTCGGTTGCTTGGCAACAGCTGTCATGAACAGAGTACTAAAACCCTACACGCACCATGCGCCCGTGCTCGGCTGACATTTGCGGCCTGTTCATTGAGTTGGGCACGCCGGGTACTGCACTCTCCTGATGGTTAAACCGTACCCGCGTCGTACTATCACAGCACACACACCAGTTTAGCTGTCGACATCAGGCCAGCCCACGGGTCGCTCAACACCGTCCTTTTGGGTCACATCCGGACCCAAACTGTCCAGCCAGGTCATATGTGCACCCAATTGCCGGTCCTAACATGCGTGTACCAACGCATGCGATTGTCCCGTGGCGTGTCCATATTGAACTGAACACTCTCTGCCAGCACTGTGGTACCAATCGAAGCTCACCCGGAAATAAAGCCCTGACCTAGAAGACCCCAGTCCGAATTTCTGGGTGACAGGTGCATGCCCTACGGGGTTTGGTGGTGTGCTTGAAAGCACTCACTGCACAGAGATTGGGCTCTGTCGTGAGGGTTATGTGAGTGTGTGTATGGATGTGAATGACTTTTGTACCAGGCCACACCATACCTACTACGTACCCTGCTGGCGAGTACATTGGTCGCCATGGCAACGCTCTCGATTGATGAGAGCTCAGTCGATGGGCCTAACGTCGTGGGCACGGAATCGGTGACTGGAGGTGGCAATGCGAAGAAGTGCATCACCTGTCCTGAGTGTCTGGCACACACTACGATCGGGGTGTTATGTTAAGTTTGAAAACGTTAACAGGCAAAGAATCAACAAACACCGGAAGGAGGTCAAGACTACACCGGCGACCCGTCGTTCCGTACTAAACGGTAACGGAAACGAAATCGAGTGCCAAGAAAACGGTCTGCTCAGACATTATGTAAACTATTGGAGAGTGCAAGTCAGCATCTCCATCAGTGTCATAATAAGATAGGGGAAGTACAAGCAAGAGATTGCATCTAGGATAATTTTATACATACATAGATATTCGCAGACACACACATACATATATATATATATATATACATATATACATATATATATATATATATATACATACATACATACATACATACATACATACATACGTACATACATACACACACACACATATATATATATATATATATATCTATATCGATAGAAATTATCTGATGACTATATTCAATAGTGCCCATTTGATGGTTATATTGATCCATGCCTACCATGCCTGGAAGGACAATAGCCAAACTCAAAAAGTACCACCAGGTTTCATACATCACATGCACATCCAGGCTCATATACACACAGAAACTGAAGTTCACTCGTGCCCAACCGAGAGAAGTCTTTATAACAATGTGTGCATTGTAACATATGTTGTCGCTGAAGTGACTGTAGGTCTATAGGGGGTGCGAGTGGATCCAGGTTGTTTAACCGCTCGTCCTCACTCACGTGGTTGCTATGGCAACAGCCCATTCGATACAAATATTGTGGTGTAGACATGAGATCATCAAGATACAATCTAAGTACGAAGACCAAAACCCTAAACCTTAAAATCATAACAGACCAAACCGCTCAAGGTATATACGTTCACACAGTACACCGCATGACCCATACGCATACAAGGTCAGCCAAGTGCGACTCAGTTTTATTCCGAACTTTGCCCACCTTGCAGATCCAGGTCAGGCACCACTTGAGATTGGTGAGCGTAAACTTGCACGCCTTGGTCCATTTTTCATCCGTGTTGGGCAGCCCTCGTTTGATGGACGCGCCGCCGATTTTGTCCTTCTGACTGGGCGTTTGCCTGTGAGCAAATGAGGTGCAGATAACGTTAGACACACACTGTGAGCAGATGAGGTGCAGATGAATTCAAAACACACACATAGACGATCGACCAACAGTGACCATTGCCAGTGACATAGTGTGCACCCATGGATAGATAGGGCCCGAAGGAGTGTGCATGCCTGAGTGGTGAGTTAATATATAATACAACACATAGAGCTTCACGGCACATCAGTCTGTATGTTATAATGACATGACAGCAGACGATTGGTATGTCCTCACGTTAAGCAAAGGTAAGGTCGAGTGTGTCTGTCCTATAGTCATTGGGTGTGTAGTTTGAATGAGACAACTAAGGGCAGTATAGATATGTAGCATGAATGAACAAACTATAGGAACTATAAGGATGTGGTGTAGCATTGACACTGTCCCTTCTGCAATAATACACACACACATATGTATCTTGCATGTAAACAAACACGTATATATGTATCTTAGTCGTAAACACACACACATATTTATCTTACTCGTAAACACACACACATATTTATCTTACTCGTAAACACACACATATCTATCTTACTCGTAAACACACACACATTTCTAACTTACTCGTAAACACACATATCTATTCGTATCTTACTCGTAAACACACACATATATATCTATCTTACTCGTAAACACACACACATATCAATCTTACTCGTAAACACACACGTATATATGATCTTACTCGTAAACACACACATATATATGATCTTACTCGTAAACACACACACATATCGATCACTTACTCGTAAGGCAGCTTGAAGCGCTGATCCATGACCTCGATACGTTTGCTCAGGTCGTGTAAACAGTTGAGATATGCCACCATAGCCTGATCGTACGACGCGGTCTTAAAGACCTGCAGGCCAGACGACAACCACCTGCAATACACACACACGTACACACACATACACATAAAAAGTAACACACACACACACACACACACACGAATGTACACACACACGTACACACACATATGCACATACATACACGCACACACAAATGTACAAACACACAGGTGCACACACATACACGCACACACACAAATGTACAAACACACACGTACACACATAAAAGTACACACACACGTACACACACACACACACATACATACATAAAATTACACACACAAAAGTACACATACACACACTTAGACACAGGGATGCAGGTGTATCATATGCCACAGACAGGTGCAGGAAGGGCGCAGAAGAGTGTGATGTTAGTGCGGCAGTGGAGGCTGGCGATGGGGAGAGATCATCGCAATAGTGAGGTAAACACCACATCCCAAGCTAGCATAATTAGGAACGGGGTTGTAAAACTTAATAAGGAAAGTGATTATGACATAATTGGGATTGTAATTATTTAATATGGTTGGGATTGTCAATATATACTATAATTTTAGATGTTTAAGACTGTAGCGGTTTACGGTTTTAGAGTTTTAAAAATTTAGAGGTTTAGGGTTTTGAGTGTTTTAAGATTTTAGAGGTTTAGGGTTTTGAGTGTTTTAAGATTTAGGGTTTAGGGTTCAGTAAACCCTACAACGCACCCACGCCAGACAACGCGTGCGACACATCCTAAGTCAACGTCACACCGCACAGTGGGGCTGTGGCCCTACTGAGCAGTTTACGAATAAACAAATACAGCTAGACACAGAAGATAAATGCGACCCCATAAAGTGGCGGATAATCCCCACACCCATGCCTTGTGCAACAGGTACTGTCACAGAGACACCCATGTCATGTGCAACAGGTGGCATGTAAACATGTACAGATACATTGTCATGAATCCCGCGTGTACAGCTCTCCTACGTTTACTGGTTTATCAACGCTGACGGACAACGGACGTTCAAACGATTTGTCAGGCACACACACCGTGAGAACGAGCAGCGGACGTATCCCAAATAGGCACAAATGCACAGACCCGGTTGATCCAAATCCTGAAATTAAACATAAATGGCACAGGCCCGATTCCTGATTTGGAGAATGCTACACACTTACAGGCACCTCTAACATTCTCGAAACACAGTGAGACTGAAATGTACCGAACTACGTTCGAATTTAAGCCCATGCGAACACCACATATAGTTATGCGAATACCACCTACACATGCGGATGATACATACAGATCCAAATGCTGTCCGTTGTCGAGTCGTTCCAGTCTAGAGCGTGATCCCTGGGGGTGCAGTCTGAAGAGGGAGAACGTCAGCCCTATATGGCTTGCAAGGGTATCCAGCAACAACACCGCCTGGCCCCATGCGGCGTTGATTTCCTCCCATGGCACCTGGTAATGGACAATTAAAGGGGAGAGTGAGGGGGGTGGGGGGCTGTAAATACAAGCCACTTGATGTGTGGAGAATGATATGCCGGCTGCAACAGTCAGTAAACATAAACTAGGTTTATTTGGATGCTACACAGAATCCATACACACGAGAGCAGCAAGTGACAAATAGTTGAACACGTGGAGAAACAATTAATATAGGATACGATGGGAGGAGATATATATATATATATATATATATATATATATACATATATATATATTAGTAGCAGCCATACACATACACATACATAGTAGACAGTCACCCACTCACTGGCCCATGCCACTACTACCACTCACCTGCACATGGGCAGATCTTCCCAGTCGCAGCTCATTGATCGTCCCGAACCCGCGCACGTCTGCCCATATATGGAAAGCGTCGTTGTAGATATTCGTCCGCTTCAACCGCTCGAGTGTGTGTAGTACGTGCTGGTGATTCGTGTGTACTTGTGCACTGGTCTGTGGATGGATTAGTAGGTAGAAATGAGTATGCAGTTGAACATACGTACGCATGTATGTCTGTGATGTGTGATATCTGGGTGTAAACATACTACATATTTATGGTCAGTATGCATGCGAACTTACTTGCACAAATGTTTATGACGAATATGTAGCAGGGCCTAATTATACAGCATACGCGCACATAGTAACACTCGTACGTACACATACACACACATACAAACACTCGTACTTACACATACACACACATACAAACAATTGTACCTTCACATACAAACACTCGTACGTACACATAGACATACACATACAAACACCCGCACCTACACATACACACATACATACAAACAATCGTACCTGCACATACACACACACATACAAACACTCGTACCTCCACATACACACACATAAAAACACTCGTAACTAAACATATACATACATACAAACACTTGTACCTATACATACACATACAAACACTCGTACCTACGCATACACACAAATATACAAACACTTGCACCTACACATACACACCATACAAACATTTGTGGCTATACATATACATACACATACAAACACTCGTACCTACACATACACACACACATACAAACACTTGTAGCTACACATAGACATAGACATACCAACACTCGTACCTATACATAGACATAGACATACAAACACTCGTACCTACGTATACACATACATACAAACACTTGTACCTACACATAGACATAAACATACAAACACTCGTACCTATACATACACATACACATACAAACACTCGTACCTACGCATATACACACATAAATAAACACTCGCACCTACACATACACACACATACAAACACTTGTACCTATACATAGACATAGACATACAAACACTCGTATCTACGCATACACACATATAAACAAACACTCGTACCTACACATACACACACACATGTAAACACTCGTATCTACAATTACACACATACATACAAACACTTGTACTTAGACTTTCACACACACTTTCAAACATTCGTACCTACACATACACACATAAACCGTAGTACCTACACATACAAGTACAAACACTCGTACCTACACATATACATCATTATACAAACACCTTAAACATACACACACACATAAAATATTTGTAGCTACACATACACACACATACAAATTTTTATATCTACATTTACACACACCTTTATACACTTGTATTTGTAAATACACACACACATACACTCGTACCCACACTTACACACATATATATACACTCGTACCTGCACGAAATCAGTAACTTGGCGTTGCACCTCATTGACTTCTTTCCAGAACATTTCTTCGTCTGTTTTCAATTCGTCACGCTCTGCTGACAGCCTACGACATTTCAGTACACCCAGACAGTAAGTGAGACAGGCACTAACGTCTATAACAGGCACAAACGTCTATTCTGCCCACCTAATACAATACAGTACAGTGCACGGAGACAGTAGCTGACACATCACAACGTCTATTCGTTTTTAGAAAGTGTATCCAGCCCGGGTGGAACCATTAGAACCCTGTCGGTTTAATGGGTATACGGGGACTTCTGTCTGTGAGTGAGCGATGCTACTACGGCATCCCATACTACCCAAGTCAAGCAATTCTGAAGTTATGTACTATCATAGATCGTAGTACTAGGTAGCTGATCTATTCCAGTATAATGTATATATATATATATATATATATATCCCTCTCATGCGACGAACGCGGCAAAAAGTACAGCACAGCTTAGTACTCACATAAAACGAAAACCTACCAACCACACTACGTTTAAACAAGTACATGAAAGGACGAATAGATCCTCCCACACCTCTGCAGAGGAATGGGTCCACATGTGCCTGAGTGGGCTCATACACACACAACAAACCAAGTACACACACACAACAGACCTTATCACATCGGCTCTGGTTTCGGCTCGTTCGTTCTCAATAACTTCTAACTGCGCAATGAGCTCTGCTTCTTCTGCCGCGTAAATAGCCAGTTGTTCCTAATTGACAGAGCATAATTACGTATTTACATACTCACCCATTTGCATATTTGCATACTCACCTACTTATGGATTTACATACTCAGCTGTGTACGATGACAATCCACGTATTAACGCATCGAGCTCTATTTACGCGCACCTTCAGACAACCAATACACCGAACGCAACACTCCTCTCGAGTAATACACACATCACCCCTATGAAACAAGCACACACACACACACACACACACATCAACCCATATTAGCATGCAACCCCACCTGTGCTTATAAACGTTAACGCGTATGCCTGCTAGTCAAGACACACCTTGTCGTGCTGGGCCTGTTGGATGATCTCTTGCTCATCTGAGTAGTGCGAGTCTACAAAATCTGTGTACATCTTCTCCTCCGCCTTCGCTTCGTCGAGTTGGTCTTCCAGCACTCGTACCAGCTGCAGAGCAGAGGAGAAGTGATACAAGTCAGCATACTGAGGGTACGTGTGTACAAATAACGTTTTGTGTATGTGAGTACAAATAACGTTTTGTTACAACCTACAGATCACAGTCGAAACAAAAAAAGTCAGTGGATTGTGATATGCGTGTACAAATAACGTTTTCCTATAAGCTACACATCAGAGGAGAAATAGAACGAGTCAGCATAATGTTGACATGATATAGCCGGCCAGCATGACGTTGATATTGATATGCACAAAAAATGGTTTTCATGTACCAACACAGAATCTGTGACAACTTCCTTGACATTGTAACCTCTTGCGTGGAGAGAGTGAAAGTGAGAATGAAAGCCCAGCCATTGACCAAAGTGAAGGTACACACAGTATATGTATATATATAAACCAACAAATATCTGTAGTTTACACCGCGCTATGCCTATCTTCATAAATATATGTATATATATAGACCAACAAACACGTGTAGTTTACACGACGTTATGCCTATCTTCATATGTAGTCCTTCTTGGTTACGGATTGTTGGAGAACGGATTGCAAGACGTTAACTTTCTGAATAGCAGTGCAACGTGTGTGTCCACAAAGTAACTGGTAACGCTAGCAGTGGTGCAGGCCACGAACAACGCTCAAGCCCAGCAGAAGTCAAGCCACCAGTCCATCGCACAAACAACGGGGCATGCACACGAAAGTCATTCCTCAGAGAAAGAAGACCTTGTACTGGGCTAGCCAACGGTGACACCATCCTTTCCCACACAGGCACCATAGGGTATATACATGAGCACACAATCACACGCCACGCACAATCAAAGACACTATTCACTCACTCGCTCACTGACTCACTCACTGACTCACCCACTCACCCACCCACCCACTCGCTAACTCCCCCACCCACCCACTCACCCACCCACTCACTCGCTCACTCCCCCACCCACCCACTCACCTGATCCGCACACTCTGCGCACATGGGATGGTCGATATTCGACTCGCCCGACGCATAGTCAAACAGATCACTCAGCACCATCACATCCAGACGCTCTCGCACGTCGTACCCCCTCGCCCCTACACGCTCCCCAACTCTGTCTCCATCCCCGCTAGCGCCATACACCCCCAGCCCTTTCTCTATGCCAGACACGTTCCCTCGCACATGCTCACCCCCCGCCGGCCGCATGTGCGTGTATGTGTTGGGGGTTGGTCGGCTGTTGGTCTGTGTCCCTGGGTCGCCGTCTGCGCTGCCCCATGTCTTCCTGTGTACTGCTGTGGCTATGGTGGTGTTGGCGTCTGTCTGGCTCTGTCGCGGGTGTTGCCCGGGTGTGCCTTCGTCGCTGAGGTCTGTATGCTCATGCTCTGGTAGTACTACGTACGAGTACTGTGCACTGGCATTCGCACTCACATCAGCCGAACCACCCGCCCTTGCCCTCATCGCCGGCGATAGGGCACACACCCCGTCCCGCAATGGTGCGCCGTGATCCCGCTTTGCGTCCGGCGAGCGCGGCGGCGACCGCACCACGACACGAATGGGTTCCGAACTTCGGTCATCTGCGTTGACATGCACCGTGGCATTGGCATTCAATTGCACCTTTGCCCTGGGCGGGTCACTTGCACCTGTCGGCCCGATTTTTGGGGCTCCGGTCCCACCTGAGACAGTCGGTCCTTGGGTGTTGGGTTTGCTATCGCTGTCTGCATCCCCACGCGCGGCTACAGGCGCAGGTGCGTGTATGTGTGCACTTGTACCTACACTGGCCTTATCAGTGGTGTGTGGACTGTGGGTAGACTCACTGTGGGCCGTGGGTGTGCGTGTGCGTGAGTGTATGGGTGATAGGGCGGGTGACTCGTGAGGTGTGCGGGTGGGAGTGATCTCTCCGTCATCGCTGTAGCTGTCGTCGTCACTGGACGATGCTGTGCGGGAATGATCGTTAACAGAAGGGATCGACGGAGATGTATATGAGTGTATGTGAGAGTGAGTGTGTTTATAATAGATGTAAGTGTCTGTGAGAGTGAGAGCATTTGTAATATAAACAGGTATATATGAAAGTGTGTGTGTTCAAATATACATAAGTGTCCGTAAGAGTGGGTGTGTTTATAATATATGTACGTATATATGAGAGTGAGTGCGATTGTAATATAAATAAGTATACATGAAAGTGAGTGTGTTCAAAATATACATAAGTGTATGTGGGAGTGAGCGAGTGAATATGTTTGTAATATAAAAAAGTATGATATGGAAGTGAGTGTGTTTATAATATAAATATGCGAATATGCGACTGAGTGTATTTACAATATAAACAAGCATTTATAAGACTGAGTGCATACGTAACAGAATTGGTATATATGAGAGTGAGTGTGTACATATTGGGAATACATATAAAATAAAAGAGAGTGAGTGTGTTTAATATATATAAGTATGTAGGAGAGTGAGTGTGCTTAATATATATACGTATATATGAGTGAGTGTTTTTATACTCATACTGGTAATGACCTGGACAGGGGTTTGATAGATAAAAAATGGATCAAAAGTGATGTTAAGCGAGGTAGGTAAACTAACACGATTACATTCTCAACGAGGGGCCTGGTTCACAAACCATGGTGTCGTTTATAGCTGGAGTTACTTGCTGTGGATTTGATTTTACACCCAACAACGACCCTGATTCTTAAACTGTGATGTCTGTGCATATACGGGTGGACAGATGGCAACGCTAGATAAACACGTCCATTCATTTCACAGTATTTCAGTAGCAACCCAAAAGATTCGAACTTATCATGAGCACAACCCATGTTACACACACGTTCTTACCCAAGTGACTCTGCTCGATCACATCAGGATGTATACTGGCAAAGGATTCGTCAAGATTGATAGGCTGTAGAAGGGGGTACCCATAGCAAATCAAACTAATTGTTAACACGAATGTATACGGAAGGTCCACGATTTGATTACAATTGCAATATATACATGTATGAATAATCATGTTCTTATGAACATACACAGACGCACACAAACGTATATATATATATATATATATATACATAAATATCTATCTATATATACATATATATATATACATTTATATATATATATATGTATTGATGTATGTGTGTATACTATATATATATATATATATATATATATATATTGGTGTGTATGTATATACATATATAGATTATATTTGTATAGTATACTTGTATAAACATATATATATATATATATATATGTGTGTGTGTGTGTGTCTGTCTGTGTCTGTTTACGTATTTGAATAACAACTGTGTTTTACGAGAATTGTGTTCTACGAGTTGATTTGTTGACGATTCCGTGATCATCTGCAACACATATGTGACCCGGAATACGTATATAACTACAAATTAAGCAATAGAATTAAGACAATATTTCCCTCTGTTCGAAATAACTTGTTATTTATTCACTAGGGTAGAAATCGTTTTTTGTGATGCCTGGTTTGACATACCCTAGAACAGTACTGGCAGGTGAAATCTGCTATCGGTACGTTGTCTGACATTGTGCGATAACTGTGGACGACCACCGAATGCTATGACATTGAACTTGCTACATATACAAGCTTAAACCTTCCTTATTGAGCCGGTTTTCTGGGTTCGAATTCGTATTTCGTCTGGTTTGGATTATCGCAGCCAACTATGTATTTATTTATGTAAATATTTTAGAACAATTATTGTTTGTACATATATTCGTAGCCTTCTTCTTGCTGTGATTAGTGTGAATATTAGGGTCAGTCCTGCCGCCGAAATTAGTTAAATTTCACAAAAAAATGAATTTCATTTCATTTTTGGAAATAAAATGAAATTTCATTAACTTCTTTTTTCAACTTGCGAAGTTGGAAGGAATTTGTATATTAGTGAAAAATGGAATGAAAAATGGAATATGAGTGAAATTGTGATTCTATTGGTTATCTTAAGAATTTTTGAGTTTTAGAATGTAGATTTTAAAAAAAGCCCAAAAACAACCGCCAAAAAAAATCATTCTTGCAAATTTTGATTTTTTGGAAAACATAACAAATGAAGGATAAGTATTGTAAATAATTTCGGTATGAAATTTTTTATTTTTTGAGAACAAAAATGTTTTTCATTTCATTACATTCTTGAAAATCAGCGGTGGGACTGGTCTCGCCGACACATGCCTAGAAGTGAAATTTGGGCTCTGAAATTTCATATTTCATATTTCATTTCATTTTCAAATTCAGGGGCAGGACCGACCAGTATTCAAGAAGCAATATGAATGTAAAAACACATAGCTATTCAATTCTATTTATTGTCTATTTTTTTGATGACGTATTATTGTCATTTTGATGACCCTCCCTGTCACAATTTGGAAATTTCCGACTTCGAGTTTTGGTTTTATCACCGAAAGCGTTGCTGTAGAGTTTAGATCAAATGGGTTTTTAGTCATAAAATTTAGGCATAAGGGTTTTTAGGTGTAAAATTTAAGCATAAGGGGTTTTAAGTAATAAAATTTAGGCATATTAAAGGGGCTTTTATTCAAGAAATTTAGGCATTTTAGTTTTTTAAGTCATAAAGTTTAGGCAGGGGAGTGATGCGACTCGTACTCCTTTTATTTATATTTTTGAAAACAAAAAGGAAATTTACGTTCGCATCCGATTTACGGATTCGGATTTATTTTTACGTAAGCTCACTTTTTTGGTATAAATACGTACAGGAACTTAGGAATTGTCTTCAACTTCACAAGTTTTACTTTTGGTTGGTACGTAAACGAATTTTATTCATTTAAAAAAACAATTTTCCTAAAAGTATTCTTGGTTAGGATATATAAAAAAAAGGCAGGTTTACCCCGCCAAAAAAATCTGAACATAAAATCCGAACCCGTTTTTAAAAAAAAGGCCTGGGGCTATAAATGTGCATTGCAAATCTTGTTACAAATATGTATTTTGTTTTTTTTTATATGAGCATGTTTAAAACAAAACAATAAAACAAAACGAAGCGACAAAGTGAAAATCAAACCCCGCCCTTCACACACACGCACACACAAGCAAGAAGGTCACACTCTCAGTCTCAGAGTCACAGTCCTTCAAAGTTGAAAGTTCACACTTCACAGTTAACACATCACAGTTCACATTCACAGTGATGACTTCACATTGAGTGATAGTGTCAGTGATCACAGTTCAGTGATCATCAATATATAAACAAATATATAAATAGAAGGATATGTTGTTTCAATTTAGAAGGCTATGACTATGTATGGAATAAACTTTATAAAATAATACAAGTGTTGATGAATAAAAATGTTTTAGCTGTTTTTTAATATTTTAAAAACATACAACAAATATGATATCACTTCATCACAGTCTACTGTCCAGGGACCAGTCCCCACTCCTCAGAGGACTCCAGGAGTCCAGCCTGTCCAGGTCCCAGGATTCCAAATCCAAGACGCCAGCGGCCAACTGCCAACACCACCAGACTCAGAGAGGGGCCCGAATGGGCACGGGGGCTGTTGGGTTGAGGGCAGCGACTCAGCGAGTCCACGACAGAAAATATTACTGTGCAGTAAATAATTGTTATTAGTTCAAAACAAAAAAAAGCTAATACCCCCTGAAAGCCTGGGACTAAAGTTTTAGATTTGCCATAGATTTGGGAAGTTGATTCACGCCAAGACCTCTCGACTCTCGAGCCTCGGGCACTTCGTACATTGGACGTTGAGTTATTTGTCACAATAATTAAAATTGTACGACAATGATATTGTACAAAGAATCATAGACTCATAGTGTCAATGAATGTCTCATACATACGTCATACTCATAGCGCATTCATATTTCATATGTACTATTTTACTTTATTTTTAGCGGGCTATAATTATTAAGAAAACTAATATAAAAAAACAGGATGTTGGTGTGACACACGTACTGTACATACGTATTTAAAAAATTCCTGATGCTGTCTGTATCAGTGTATCTGCAGAAATATTGTTTTTATTTTTTTTTAAATGCTTATTTTAAAACTTTTAAAAATATCTAGCCACGTGACGACGCAGTGGGCCCAGAGCCACAGACAGTCAGACAGTCAGACTCAGACACCCATTAAAAAACCTGTGCCTTACCCCAGCCCGCCCCCACTGCCCCAGTACACGATACTATTTTTATAAAAATACCCTCACGGCTCACGGCCCTCAGCCTCAGGCCCCCAGACTCAAAGGCCCAGACGTCAGAGGCTCCGGCGCTCACTGCTCAGCCCTGCTCGCGGCCTCGCGCGTGCGTAGAGATAAAGGAGATCAGGAGGTATGCGGTCATGCCAATATTATGTTGCTTGGATGTGGATGCTTTCCATATTAGCGCAGAAGTAATTTGACTTTCGGCTGCCTTACACTGTTACTGCTACTGTATCGTAATGCGTTCGTGTCAAACATTTCACTAAGGTGGCCGTTCAAGGATCTTTCAATAACTAATATAATCTTCACTTATTTCCCACCCAAATTTTGCAGTCTGGCGAGTGCGACAACCAACGATGTGGTATGGGTGTCTGTTGATTGATGTTTGAGTATCTGCGCGAAATATCGGGCGACTTCGACTTTTGTACTTCAGCGCCTATTATTTTTGCACGTGCAATGTCTTCGAAGATTTTGAGTTTATCGAATTTCACTTTTAATCACAAATGTCTATTATTTTGTTGTTTTTAAAAAACAAAAACAGAACCACGAACCAAGAAGTTCAAGATCCGTTTTCTTGCATTTTTAAATTGTAAGAATATATCGATTTGGAAGATGAACTCCCCCCGGACCAGAGTATCTGGTAAAGTGGAGATCCCCATGTGATAGATCGACAGTTCAAGAAAATTAGACAAACCTGTGAAACCCATCTGGCACACCAGACACAAGCTGCACCAGAACACAGTAAAACTTAAGCCTATATTAATGATAATCCCAATACAAAAAATCAGTTTTGTTGTAAATTTCAAATCAGTCAGGATGTCTCGTTTTTATAATAGCAATCTTCATTCATCGTGAACAAGGAATATCACATAGTGAAGGTGGCATATGTCTCCGCCCCAATACTCGGCCAAGTGAGGGAGAGCCAAAACTATTATTTCACCTCAATGCTAAAACCAGGTCGTCTCGAATACTCGCAAGGTATTGCCTAGCCCTCCAAAACTAGAATCAATGAACCTGAATTCGTGATTCTTAAAGCAGTACAGGAACAAAGTGCGGTAAACAGTCCAAAACTTGAAGTGTATGCAACCGAGTACATAATGGGTACAGCGTCGAAGGAGCTCACTGACCATTCACATGCACGTATACTATGGTAAGATGTTCTCAATAGCAGTCGACAAACAGTTCAAAGTTTTGTCACTCACGATCATCCATGCACTCATGCGGCCGAATATTCGACAAAGTTTGCCTCTTCGAGCTATTCAATCAAATTTTTATAAACTGCAACTGAGCACGACTGTAAAGCAATCCAGTGCCTGCCTACTATACCACCTTATATCGTTCACTATCCCATGTATTCCGTGGAACTTGATAAATGTAGCAACGTAACGTGATTTTCTTGCGGTCTCTGATAGTGAACTGTCCCACCTCGACTTTTACGATACTTTGTACTTTTCAGTCCGTCACTCAACCGCATCAACGGGTGTGACACGTTTAAACCTCAACAAAAGTGGAGCTTGATCCGCAGATTTCTTGCTGCCCTCTTGCAGGCCTGTTATTAAACTGCTTATACTGACACTTGGCGGCATATCGTCATCCTTATCTACTTCCTCCTTCGCTCTTGAGTGTACAGCACTATCGACTGCCTCAGCTGCATTTGATTGACTTTCATTCTCTTCGTCTTTGTTCCCTTTCCCCGTTGGCAAACATTTCCCAACAGCCACAGGCTTGCTCATACTACCATCTATCGAACGTGCTCTCCACACACAATTCGTTGGCAACGGTGATGGCGAAAGCGGTGGAGTAGACGAACGCAGTGCCAGAGGTTGCGCAACCGCCGCTTCTGGGGCCTTACTAGCAGATTGCGACACGGTCTGTTCCATATCCTCGATCTTTCTTGCGGTATTTGTTACTGACAAGGGCGGTACTGGTTCAAGCGAAATTGATGCATTGAGTGCGTGGCTGGGAGTCTGTGATCGGGTACGTGTGGACGCACGTGTACGTGGTGGGGGTGTCCGCTTGCGCCCTGACCGTGAGCGTGTGCGGTGTGGTATCTCATTTTCACCTTTCCCCACTGGTGGTACTGAGCTATTTTGTGTCCTCATTGAACCCCGTACCGTTGAAGGTCCTACATTCTTATCTTTGTCCGCTATAGATACTGCTTTTTGAGAATTCGTATCTAAAGCAGCTGTGTGCGGGCTAACGTTCACATCAGCAGAAGGAATCGCTTCCGCCGCTCCCTCCGACTGTGCGCTGGCAGCGCTGTGAAGTCGTGATGATGTGCGTCGCTTGGTTTGGGATAGATCTCGCTTCAACCGCTTGCTAGCCGATCCACCTGCGGTTAAAGTCCGGCCACGTGACTGATTTGACGCAACGCTGTTAGTCGAGTTAACACGTGTACGGGTTCTGCCCGGGTTAGCTTGTATGGGCGCTGCGAGAGCCATCCTGGTCCTTTTGTGTTTTAATTGGGCTTTCTGGGCCATCATCTCGGTCTGGAAAGACAGGCTACCCGAAACTGGCAGGGCAAATGCCTGACATCTCTTAGCTCGTTCGTGCGCGGTCTCGTGTCGGATCTCCTGCAGCCTATAGCATAGTTCCTTTGGCACACTCGCACCCCAGGCAACGTACGGCAGCTTCAAGGTCACCTCAATGGCCTTGAGATTCGTGTATGGGTCGGGGAAGAGACTGTACACGTCTGTGAGAATATTCTGTTCCGTGTTTCCTCTTGCCTGGTCCGCTTCCTTAACTCCCGCTTGAGTCGTTATTAGTTGCTGATCAAGTAGGAGGCGTTCATGGTCTGTGCGTTTGCGCCGCTTCTCGAGGGCTTCATATTTGCGGTGTCGTTTGTCGTAGGCGGCATCGCTCATGTCCTGCGCGCGTGTGTGTGTGTGTGGTATACACGTGTACGTGTGATTTCTAATGTCGGTTTAGACGGCTGTCAGTCAAGTACGCAGGAGAAAGTATTTTTCTGTGGGAACGCGAACTAGCGCCTAAACGAAACAACAACATATATGCGGACAATTCACGTCATTTCAGTGCCTATTCCCCTTCACTTTCGATGATACCAAACCGGTGGCAGTAACAATTCCTTATCTCAAAAAAATACACAGCACAGGAAAATTGACATATCTGGTACACCGGTATACATGACAATATTCTAAATTCCGTGCGCTAGTCATGCATCCACAGACAAGGTTATACACAGGGTTTTACACGGCAGTCATGAATCCATAGACAGGGTTTTACGCAGGGTCGTACACAGCAACACGTATACAATTTCGACATAAATACAAATTGTCAGTAGATCGATGGCTGGAAGTAAAGACAGTGTGTACACACCTCGATATGCCCGGGACGATCATCTATTGCGTTAGATTCAAAACCGACAACTCGCCAATTTGGTACTGTTTCAGCAGAGTCAGGGATAAAGCACGTTAAGACGGGTGTCTCAAAGATGAGGTCTCAACAAAAGTATGCATACAAGCGTACAGTACATGTATGCGCATCAATATCAAATACAACATCGAAAACAACAACATATATATATATATACGTACACACACACATATATATATATATATATATATATATATATATATGTGTGTGTGTGTGTGTGTGTATATATATATATACCGCAAAGGAAAAGTGACAGGGTTTCTAGTTAAAACACGGGCGCAGGTATTTCGAAGAAAACCAAGTGAATACAAGCAGTTATATGAAAGCACCTCGGCAGGAGTACACATCCGGGTATAATCTGTGCATATCCTTCTAGAGCACGTATCGATATTTGTGCTCACAATTGTCGGCAGTATCACTCGCAAACACCCACATTCAATCCCAACTTTAAGAGTCAAACAATACTCCATATTCATGCTAAGCCCGCCTAGCTTCTCAAAATTCTTCATGTAGTGTGTTCGGAAAGCTATGATAGGTCTGAAAGCAGCTTTGATAAAGAAATGGTGACTGATATTGTACGCAGCGACATCTCGACAAACGCGCTACACGTCAAATATCCTACGCTCACCTGGTATAGCCTCCTTTCGCGCGGCTTTCTCAGCCGCATCGACGGTTGGTACCATAGCAGGGTCCACAGGAACAATTGCCGATCTAAACAGAGGATTCCACTCAGAGTCCCACTTCTCAAACTCCTGTCTCTCTCGTTCCGGTCGCTCTCTTTCCCTCTCGTCATCGCTGTCACCAGGCCCATCGTCACTGTCAGGTTCGTCGTCACTGCCGGTGTCGCTTGCATTGCTGTCATCTACAGGTCCGTCTCTATCGTCCTCGTCTGTGTGTGTGTGCTGAGGCACTCCGCCCGAGGATATGGCTCCAGACCTCTCCACTCGAGTGCGTGTGCGCGTGCTTGTACGTGACTGCGTACTACGCGGAAGCGAGCGCTTTAGTCCCCTCCCTCTGGTCATTACAATCGTGGTACTGTCATGTTTCGCATTTTCCGTATCATCTACATTCGAACGATACAGGGCACCTCGTCCTCGTAACACCCGGCTCTCTGTACGGCTTTGCACAGGTGCGTTGCTAACCCCATCGATACCGACATCCATATCACCACTACCGTTTGGCATTTTTTGTGGGTAGCGTTTCCTTCTGCCCCCCCGAGCAGTTGCCACAGTAGGCGACTCGTTTTCCGCACTCGAGTGCACGCTCAGTGCTTGCCTGCGAATCTGCGCGCGTGAACGTGTTCGACTGCTACCATGTCTGCCACCACGTGCGCCGGTGAATGCATTCATCCGTCCACGTGGTGCCTTCATATGCCCACGTGTGTATTGGATAGGTGATAAAACCTCAATGTCATCATCACCTGTATCGTCTGTTGATACGACAGACGCCGTATCCTCATCCTCATCCTCCTCCTCTTCCTCAGAACTGGCGCCGTTGTCGTTGTAGTTGCGTTCTTTGGCGTGAAAGCGGCGCTCTAAACGTGCGATCTTCTTATCCTTCGCTTCGATGTCATCTTTCAGATTTTTGATAAGCCCCTGCGCGTCTCTCAGCTGGTGCATAATATTTGAATACGATTCGTTTGTCAGCCTTAGCCGCTTGTTCTCGTTCCTCAAACCCTCCATACTCGGTGATAAAGGCTTCATGGGCTCTTCCGGTATCACCTCCGCGTCAACATCGATGATGGTCTGTTTGTTCTTGGGGTCCATCTTGACAGATATACTTGGGTGATAACTATTCCACGATTATCATGCGACTCCCTGTTGCTTACGTTGTAGCTGTGTTTATTTATGTTTGGGCCGTATCGTTGGCTTCGAGTGCACCGTAGGGACTGTCCAAAATACAACGGTAGAGCAAATTGCTTTACTGTATGTGACGTTTCGAATAATTGCCAATATCCGGCGTCACGCTTCCCGACTTATACTCGAGATAGGAACAACTAGGCTCAGCTAGTGAGCCACATCTGTGTCTGTGTACAGTAATGCGGCGGCGCTATTTCAACGTACTTCAAGGACCGAAGTACCACTCTCATATCCCAATACAGAAGCGTAACGGTCACAAAATCGCGTGAATATATCACAAATTAAGTATTTATGTGATGCAAAAGTTTAAAATGCCGACACCCGCAGAGTCGCAGACCACAGACCACATATTTATTTAGACAGTCACAGACTGCTCACTGCTCAGGTGCTGTAGTCGATAGTCACTGGTCACTCTCTACTGGCGTCTGTGGTGGGCGAGATCAAACACAATGCATATGTGACGTCATCAACATAATTGCAACACAAAAAAAAGGGTTTTATAAATAATTATAAATATATATAATGTATGGACCTACAATATGGTTTGTAAATACAACAATATATATTATATCTAAAGATACACAGTTCATATTTATTAAGATTGATTTTGGGTGGTACATGTGAGTGCACTATGTCGACCGGATTATACCCCATTATAATCATCCTCGGTATCACAGCAGGCGGTGCAGCGAGCACATCGATACAAACCAACTATGCGAAGGATACGAATACGGGAAGCATTGTGTCACAAGCCGTGGGTATGTTTCCCATGTATCCAATCTACCTTCATGGTTTGCAAACTCGTACAAAAGTTGAACTATTTGTGGTACGCCTGACTAAGCTTGTCGCCCTCGATAACTTCCACTACAGAAATGATTTTGTTACATAATAGTATACCATTAAACATGTGGGAACAAAAATATGAATACGTTTTGGGACCTTTGTGACGGCGCATTGTCGTTTAAGTCAGTTGGTGGTTGTTGTCTAAGTCAGTAAGTCAGTTGGTGGTTGTTGTCTAAGTCAGTAAGTCAGTTGGTGGTAGTTGTTAAGTCAGTTGGTGGCTGTTGGTCAATCACTTGATGG